CTTTCCTACCAAGGTTTATGAAGCATCTCTGTAGATGCCTGATTTCCATATGACTATCTTGAATTTTATGTATCATATGTGTTCAAGTGATCCAAGATTATTTCTAAATGCTAGAGAAAACGATTATAGTATCAGAATGTCCTCCTTAGAAAATTCGAATTGCAATAACTGACTGCTCCTGAAAAAAATGAGAGCTACCAATGAATAGATATTCCTGTAATATAATAGCTTTAAATTGATCAGGAAAGAAAATTAAGAAAATATTTCCATTTTAGGTAGAAACTATTACAGGATTATTTATAATGGTGGTAAAATGAAAATAATAGTTAAATAATAAATGAAAAATCATGCATAAGAATTTGAATCAAATCAGTATTTAATAGTAGCAATTACATATATATTTATATAAAGAATTAGATGTCTCTGAGAGTAGAGACAATAAAAATGCTGCATAATTTCATGAGGTGCATAAATTATCATGGTCATTAGGAAATAAATTTAATCTGTAAGATGTTTATATAACTTTTTAGTTCTTTACAGTTTATTAAGGACTGGAGTGATAGTACTGTGGTAGGGTGTGTGCCTTGTGCGTGGCTGGCCCAGCCCAGCCAGGTTCGATTCCTCCGCCCCTCTCTGAGAGCCGGGCAAGCTACTGAGAGAATCTCACCTGCAGGGCAAAGCCTGGCAAGCTCCCCATGATGTATTCGATACGCCAAACACAGTAACAACAAATCTCACAACGGAGACATTACTGGGCCCACTTGAGCAAATCGATGAACAATGGGAGGACAGTGCTACAGTGCAGTGCTACAATTTATTATTAGCATTGAGATAATTTCTATTACCAAAGACCAAAGTAAATATGTGCATTAATAATAACAAGCCTTTCATATTACTACCATGTTTTTTAATATCTAGTGTGTTACCAGATAAAATGCTTTTATTGAAGTTCTATTGATTCAGTTGGTTTCTTGAGAGTTAGCTGTCAAGATTAAGGACATTAAATAAGAACACACATATTGGTGTATTGCAAACTTGCAAAGACTCCTAGCTTGGTACTCTTAGCTTTTTTTTTTTAGTGTAAATTTGTGACCTGTGGAAGATAAGATTATCAAAATTCTTTATAAGTAGAAATGTCATTTTAAAAGTTTTATGACATTTTGAGATTTCCATTTAAATTCTTTCAGTACAACTCATCAGATTGGTAACTTCAAAACTGCATTTTCTCTTCAGTGCTGTCATTTACATCTGTATAGAGGTAGGGTCAACAGGGAAGCCATTGTCAGGAATTATCTGTTACTTGCCCTGCACTGTGACACTAGGGTGGTTCAGGGTTCTTCCTAGTATCAGCATTTCTGAACAGTATAAAAATAGTTCTACACAGTCTCCCAGGATGATAACAAACTGTTTTCCAACACAAGGAGGATCTGCATGTGATTAAGAAGACAATCAGATCAAGTTCTAAACTCTTTGAAAGAGTTCAAACCTCTTTAGTTTTAAAATGATGACATTAAAAGTTGAAAAAGACACACCATGTCTGTTGATACTAGGGACATTCTTCTTAGCATTACTTTTGACTTTTTATCTTTTTATTCATTCTCCCCTTGATCACTGCTCACTCTCAAACCTTCTGACGTCAGTAATAATTAGAAATGACAAAGCAATCTTCTCTCTCTTTCACCTCTCTCTCTCTCTCTCTCTCTCTCTCTCTCTCTCTGTTTTTTTTTTTTTCTACAGGAGTTTCTTTAGGAAACTACATGCCCAAGAGTTTAAAATTGGTAAAAGAGCTCTTGAGGAACAGATTGACTGATACTAACTCAGGTAAGTATTTAAGGCAGAGTGTGAAATCAACAATATATATTGGAGCCAGAAAGCTATGGTTTGTTGTATTTCTGAATAATACGTGTATATTCGTGTTCCTGTGTGTGTGTGTGTGTGTGTGTGTGTGTGTGTGTGTGTGTGTGTGTGTGTACTTGCTTTGAAAAAAACACTGGTGTTAATGTATGGAACAATTCCCCAGAAAATTGGTCTCTTTACCTCTCTAACATCTATTACTGATCTATCCACTTATACAGGTGTCACGTTATTTTTTTCCCCCAATATTGCGTGAACAAATAGAATAATATGTCAAATGCTGGGTAAAGCCACATTTTCTTTTCTCAATATACATAGTATTACACAGTAATCTTATACTGTGGTGTTTAAAAAGTTTTCATGCACTTTTAAGATTAGCTAACAGCAAAAAGATGTGGCTTATTTTTGTTTCGTTTGTCAGCAATTTAAGTGTTAGCATATGCCCGAATCTCATTTTGTGAAAGATTTGATACAGTCAGGACAGGATACTTAGCTTTAGAAATGGTTAGAAAGTGACTTGCCTATTTCTGTTCTTTTTCACTTAGATTTTAAAGTTGTTATATTTTTAATTTATAAAAATTCAAAATAATTTAGTTTTAGTCATGAAACTTTTAAAGTATAATTGAATCCTCCATGAATACAACACAGTATATTCAGACAATAGTGCCTTCAATTTTTGGATGACATGAGTTTGGATTTAGTTTTCACTACAAAGCATTTGCCATGTGAAATTTTTTCTTCCTTCTTCTTAAATCACTAGTTTTAATCTCTAAATTGTTCTCTATCCATTAAAACATAGACAGTGCCAGACTGGATTCATATCTTGCTTTTATTTTTTTTTTAATTTGAGGGTGGAACAAATCAAGGTTTATTTAAATAGATGTCTGGGCAAGTTTGTGAAATTAAAGTTTTAAATTTGAACTTTAATTTTATTTGAAACATTCACTTTTGGGGATAATAATTTCCTGGAATGGTAAAGTTCTGTTAGTAAAATCAGTAAGCTTTATCAGGGTAGATGGTTTTTATTCTCAAATATTCTCTATTACAACAGAGTTGCGTGATCTTCCTTTGTCTCCAGTCACTGAGGCTCTCCATTTAAATATACAAAATGAAGAATTGGTTAAATATTTAGCTCCTTTTCTACTCTACTTCAGAATCAATGATTAGGGATAGAGTCCTATTTTATGAAACTTTGTATTCAAACTTAAAGAAAAATCATTATTGTTGTTCTTATCATGTTATACACCAAATTTTGGAGACAAAAACAAAATAAAAACATATGATAAATTTTGAAGAAAAAAATGAGGGACTGGATTTACCTGGCTCTTCAATATGGTTTTGAAATAAAGCATCTAGGATTAAAAATGAAAAAAAATGAAGATGATACAAATGCAATATTTGATATAATAAAATCTCAACTATACATTTATAGAAATTCAAGTAGCTTTAGATACAAGAAGTTAAGAAAATCTAAGTAGTTTTAATACCATAATAAAACATGTTGGGTGTGAATAAAGTCTTATTAGTTTATTTTGAAAAAAAAAACAATAGTGAAAGTGTATTCTAAGGTTCAAGAAAGTAAACATCATTTTCACGTATTTTGAAAAGCAATTCTGTTTTTGTTTTGTTTTGGGGCCACAACTGGCAGTGCTCAGGGCTTATTCCTGGCTCAGCATGGGGGACCACGTGGTGCTTGGTTCAAACCCAGAACAGCCATGTTAAAGGCAAGCACCTTACCCAATGTACTATCTCACCAGCACTGAATACCAATTTCTTAATCTTTGTAAAACTCTTTAGTCAATGGTTCAGTGGGATAGAAAAGATGAAATCATATGTAAAAGATATCTATATCTACTCAACATATTCAGATTATTTTTTTAAATTGTAATTATTTATAAGATTTAGGCCATGTTTCTTTTGCAAAGGTCCTATTTCTTTTCACCTATATAGACTGTGGACTCTTCCAATAATTCTAAAAATGTCATCCCATAGAAAGATACTTATACTACCTTTTTAAGTTTCTTAAATCATGGTGCAATGCAGAGGGGGAAAAATCATTACTGTTTTAAGGTCCACATGATGTCAAATTCTATTTAGAATAAGAATATGAAAACATAAGTTGATTATGTGAGAAAGCAAATTTTGAAGTTGACAGTAGTTTTTACTAAAACAATAAGCCCCAGTTTTTACTGACTGAATTTTGGATAGACTTATTTAAGAATCTCTAACTTAAGAACATGATTTTTAATAAGTTGTGGGACACATATACACAAATTTATATCTTGGCTCTGGCAAGGAAGAATGTTCTCTTGGAAAGAATAAAATCCTAGGGGTTATAAATGGGTGAAAAAGAATTAGATTTTTTATTTATACTTCAAAATGTAATCAAGTGAATGAAATGGCTTCATATACATTTTTTTACATCAATCAGCAGTGACATACTCTTCATACATTAATTTTATAGGAAAATGTACATCTTTTTCCTTTTTTGGCTAAGTAAAATTTGCCAAGTGTTCATGGACAAAAAAAATGTAAAAGCAAAAAACAAACCGCCCCAAAACAAAAAGACCCAAAACCCTTTCATTGCACCCCAATCTAATGAAATAATGAGGATAAGCTTTCTGGCATTAAAAAAGCTATTATTAAATGTGTAGTAATATTGGCATGTATAAGATAATGTTTCATAAATTCTCCAAAAATGTTAATGCCCAATTTGAAACTCTGCAACATAGTCTAATGGATTTGGTGACTGAACCTGCCCAGGGACATTGAAGTCCTGGATGGTTTGTTTTCAGTGTACTTCCGTAGCTCTATTCTTAGCTGACTAGTCTTCAATTCCCTAATCACATAGAAATGCATTCTTATGAAGTTAAGCGGCTGTAGACACAGAGTGCTGATGACATTCTCTTCATATCTGAGTTATCTAAAGAAAACCCAGTTAGTGGTAATTCTACCAAATACTTGTAACATTCACATGAAATTTTAATTGATTTTCAAACAGTACAACTGTGCCATGAATCTGACCACATAGAATATATGCTTTAAGCCCACTAGGTTTAAGCAATTGTGTCTTTGCCGACTAAAACTATGCAAAATAAGATCTGATAACTCCCTGGTGTTAGAGGTAGACAGTTTTCTTTCAAATCCTAGGTTTGGTCCTTTATTTTATTCAGCAGTGAAAGCCATGAATACAGAACGAATAACAGCTGTTACAATTCTCAACCATGACTTCTAACGTCAGAGAATTCAAAGTATGAACATAGTACACAGTAATGAAAAGTATCAAAAATTAGTTTACCTCAAAAAGATAAATAAAACAGATATATTTCACCAATACATAAACAGATGTTTGTGCTACAGTTAAAATTTGCTGTATACAAAAGATCATAGTCCCCATAATCAGCTTATGATAGAAGCAAGAATACATGAGCCATTTAAATTGTCAGACATTATGCTTTATAAGGTATGCACAGAAGTTCAAGCAATAAATACATACATTAGTTCAAAGCCTTACAATAGCTACGCAAAGCAGATGCAGAAAAGCAGATTTGCTATTACTAGCAAGCAATGATATAAGAGTAAAAATCATGAAATGCATTAAAGCAACATTTTTCTTAGAAAAAGTCTGGTCATTTATGGGTCCACCAACATTTTTTACATAATATGCACAATTATCAAAATACAGACCAAGCATTTCAGAAAACTCCAAAAAACCTAAAATCTATTTTCAAAGCAATTGCAGTTTTGGAGGTTTTTCTGGTATAATGTGCAAGCAGCTATTTTTTTTTAAATTGTATTCATATAAAACCCATGCAAAACTCTACAGGTATATGCATTCTGTGGCTGAGACTTCCTTTCAAAAGTTTTGTAACTGAGGTATGCATACTTTAGCATTGTAGTCTTAGGCCACCCTCCCGATGGTACAGCTCTCACAGTTACTTTCAGTCCATCAAAGCCTTTTGAACATGTACCTGAAAGACCCATTTCCCTTCAGATAACCCACACAGCAGGATCCTAGATGACTGAAAACCATCCTTCGCAATACCCATCTTTCTTTCAATACCATACCATAAACTTCCCGTTCTTTGATCATGACCCAAAGACAAACATAATGAAAAGTAGCAGTTACTGTGACGTTCTCACGTTTCATGCAATCTGCCATAATTGTTCTAATTTTTTTCTTTTTTTTTCTTTTTTTTCTTTTTTTTTTTTTTGCAGAGGTAGAAGCTTTCAGAAAGCCTTTTGGGTAAGTGGGAAAACCCTTTTGAAAGCCGTTATGTCCTTTTATTTGGTGTGATAGATGACTGGGTATCTCTCTAACTCTATTTGCTGACTTCAGCAAAGAATAAATGATGAGCTTACTTTGCAAGAACCAGCTCCGTCACATGGAACTGGTTCATATGTTAAGCTCTAGCAGCCACCTTCTGTCAAGACTGTTTGTAAAGCAATAACCATAATCAGGTTATGAGGTCCCTTGGTTGGGGGAAAAAGTATTATCAAGACTTGGCACAGCACATGAAAAGCAACACGTAAAGTTTCTAGGTTTTAAGCAAACATCTGACTATGCTATTTTCAACTACACCATAATGTCAGCATTATCATAGTTTTGGGGTTTGGAGTTGTCAAGAAAACCAGCGTTCCAACAATTTGGCCTGTGCAAGTCTTTGAAAGGGAGTGTATTGTTAGTGTTAATATCCCGTATAAGCAGAGGCAGAATTTATATGTAACTTTGGTTTGACTGAAAATAAATACCATGGACTACAATTGCTATATTCTTTGCTTTCAGTGTAAAAACTCAGCTAGATCACTTTAAAATCAATATGAAATTAATTTTTGGCTTTACTAGACCTTTTATGTTTGGTTCCTACTTTTTGTTTTTTTTTTCATTATAACTTAAGACTATAAAAAATAGTACACAACAAAGATTAGGACCATACAAGACATCTTCTAACAACATGTATTCACCACTGAAAAGAAGTGAGTGGATGGGGAAAACAGAAACACAATGTACTCTCTATATAACAATATGCAATCTGCATTTGCATCAAGTACATCATCGTTTTGGTCAGTGATCCACATTTGTTGCTTTCTAGCATATCATAACTTCCACTGCAGATTTTGTCCTCACCTCTGTCTTTAATGAAAGCAAATCTTCGTTGCATTTAGATGGACTTTTGGCCTCAGAAGATTACTCTGTGACTGAATTAACTTTAGGTTTTGTGGTTTTTATTTTTGTCATATTTGATTCTTTGTTTAGGGCTAAATGAAAAGATCCCAGAGGTCATCAGAAAACAGCAGGTAGTTCATGGAAAAGGTTCCTTTGTACTAATTGAAGTTACAGAAGGCTGACCAAAGCATGTGGCTGCTTCTGTCCTTGAGCTCTTGGCCATGGTTAGAGTTGGCTTTGGTTTGCAGCTGTAGCCTTTGACTGTGTTTGCAGGTAGACAAAGCTTTATCACAAGGAGGTAAAGAGTACAGTTGTAAGATCTATGCAGATATGCAAATGTTTCTATGGTGCTTGCACAGATAATGTTAGCTTAGGATTGCACTTTACATCTTAACACTAACAGCACAGACTGGAAGCCTAAGGTTTTAGATGGTTGCAACAGTCTAATTACTGTGTTTTGTAATAACTAACTTATGTCA